GTACCTGCAAACAATGGTTATAATATACCACCAATGATATACTGAAAAGTAACAGACTGCAGAGTGTACACTACTTATCACCACACAACCATTGAAACATTTGTCAAAGGCAATTTTAAAGTAAATGGTAACTTCAAATGTAAAACTGTTCAATTACTTTAAAACAATTTCAGGCTGAAATAGATTCAAATGAAAGAAAGTTCCACTGATTTGCTCAACTGGGATCCAAACAGTCAGTGAGTGGTATAGACACGTAGCTAATTGGGAGAATCCAAACAGTTTGGTTTTCATTAGAGCTGGGAGTTCAGTATTTCAGATGACTCACTACACAAGACAACATCATGGAATTCAATACCAATACCTAGCAGTGTAAATCTTTGCATAACCAATTTCATGTTAGGTGTCAGGCAGATCAACAGCGAATTGAAGACTGTTTGACATATTTACACCTGGAAGAAACTGTAGTTCTACAAAAGTTTTTCAGCTGGATTTTGGCCTATCGGCCTATCAGATGGTGAGTTCTATACTTCCTTGGAGCTTTGTGTGACCACTTAAGTCTCTACTGAGTGTTCAGGACTGCAAAACTGATGGGACAATAATTTCTGAAGAAGGGTCTCGGCCCGAAACGTCAGCTTTCCGCTCCTCTGATGCTGCTTGGCCTGCTGTGTTCATCCAGCTCTACACCTTGTTATCTTAGGACAGTAATGCTGGTCTGTTTATACTGAATGCTCTGGATTGGCTCCACTGTCTGTGGTGTCTGGCTTGTTTGTACTCATCAGGACCCCAGCTTCGCCTAATGAACCCACACTGTCTGTGGTACATGCCAAGCCTCTGGCTATTGCCTTGTCTATCTCTGCATTTGGAATTGGGGTACTCTATATCTTTTATTACAGTAACACATAGGGCAAGCTGAAGATGTCCAATGGGCCTGACTCGCTTTACCACCTTTACTTCAAATACATGATTGAAAGTTGGTTTGTTTGATTTGTACTTAATTACAACAAAAAAATTGCAACAATGTTTTAAACTTACACTCTATTTGAGAAACAATCACAGCCTTGGAATGATTCTTGACACAAAACTACTGCAGATGATTCAGGAAGTAGTAGCACATTTGGCAAATCATCATTTAATCAAGCAGTCAGCATAGCTTCATGAAAGGGAAATCATGGCTACCTAATTTATTACAGTTTTTCAAGACCAGTAGATGTGTTGTACCTGGACTTCCAGAAGGCGTTTGACAAGGTGCCTTACAAAAGATTGTTATAAAATAAGAGCCCATGGTTTTTGTTTTAATTCATTTACAGGATGAGGGCATCGCTGGCTAAGCAGCATATATTGCCCATTCCTAATTGCCCAGAGGGCAGTTCAGAGTCACCCACATTGCTGAGATAGTATATTGGCACAGAGAGAAAATTGGCTAATAGAGAGGATTTGAGCTATATGGAGAGGCTGAAAAGGCTGGGGCTATTTTCCCTAGAGTGTCGGAGGCTGAAGAATGACCTTATAGAGGTTTATAAAATCATGAGTGACATGGATAGGGTGAAATAGACAAAGTCTTTTCCCCAGGTTAAAGGAGTCCAAAACTAGAGGGCACAGGTTTAAGCTGAGAGGGAAAAAATTTAAAAGGGACCTAAGGGGCAACATTTTCACGCAGAGGGTAGTGCATGTATGGAATGAGCTGCCAGAGGAAGTGGTGGAGGCTGGTACAATTATATTTAAAGGCATCTGGATGGGTATATGAATAGGAAGGGTTTAGAGGGATATGGGCCAAATGCTAGGAAATGGGACTAGATTTATTTAGGATATCTGGTCAGCATAACCATATCTGGTTGGACTAAAGGGTCTCTTTCCACGCTGTACAGCTCTATGACTCTATGGAAGAAACAGCCAGCAGAGATAAGGTGTTTTTTTTTCAGGTCTGTAACTAGTGGGGTTCCACAGGAATCAGTAATGGGACCACAACAATGTATGTATGTTTGCAATATTCATTAATGACTTGGAAAAAGAAAGCATACGTACTGTAGCCAAATTTACAGACAACACAAAAATAGGTGGAAAGGCAGGTTGCGAGAGGGATATAACATTTACAGAGATATCTTGATAGGTTAAGTAATTAAGTAAAGTCAAATAGAGTGTAATATGGAAAGATGTGAAGTTGTTCATTTTGGAAGGGAAAACAGAAAAACAGAATATTATTTAAATGGAGAAAAAAACTTCAGAAAGCTGCAATACAAAGGGACTTGAGGATACCTGTGCATGAAATACAAAACTAGCACACAGCTGCAGCAGGTAATCAGGAAGGCAAATGGAATGTTGGTCCTTATTTTAAGAGAGTTGGAGTATAAAGGTAAGGAAGCCCTACTGCAACTGTACAAGGTGCTGGTGTGACCATTCCTGGAGTACCATGAACAGTGTTGGTCCCTTTATTTAGAACATTTTATTTCGTTGGAGGCAATTCAGAGAGGGTTCACTGTGATGAGGCCTGGGATTGAAGAATTGTCATATGACCAAAGGTTAAACCAGTTGGGACTCCACTCAGTGGAGTTTTGAAGAACGAGGTGATCTCATTGAAACATGTAGGATTTTTAAGGGGCTCAACAAGGTAGATGCTGACAGCATGTTTCACTTCATGGCAGTTTTGAGGACCAGACTGCATAATCTTAGGATAAAGTGTCGCTATTTTAAGACTGAGGTGAGGAAGAATTTCTTCTCTGAGGGTTCCAAGAGAGTTTTGGGGGCAGAGTCCTTGTGTACATTTAAGGCTGATACAGTCTTCATCAGCAGGGGACTCAAAGGTTATGGGGGAAAGGCTGGAAAGTGGACAAGAAGAATAACAGATCAGCTATGCTGCTACTGACTGGTGAAGCAGGCTCAAGGGACCAAATGGCCTATTCATGTTCCTATTTCTTATGGTCTATGAAATGAACATGTCGTGCCCTAGGTGGACTGGTTTGCTGAAATAACAAACAGTAAAGGACTCACCTTTATCCCCCTCCACCCGAACATCAATGAATACCACTCCCGCCTGGACATTGAACAGTTTTTCCGCCTCCTCTGCGCTTACTTCTAACCCTCCCTCTACTGATCCCTTCTCCCTCCTCCAATACACGCTATCCTCCTGGACACCATCCCAAGGCCTCCTAGCCTCCCTCAACCTCTTCATCTCCAACTGCCGTTGAGACATCAATCGCCTCAACCTCTCCCCCACAGAACGTGCATCCTTCCACTCCCTCCCTAACCTCACTATAAAACCCATGGACAAGGGGGGCACAGTTGTAATATAGCACACTGACCTCTACATCGCCGAGGCCAGGCGCCAAATGACACCTCCTCCTACTGCCCCCTTGATCATGACCCCACCCCCTACCACCAAAACATCATCTCCCAGACCATCCACAACCTCATCACCTCAGGTAACCTCCCACCCACAGCCTCCAACCTCATCATTCCCCAACCCTGCACCGCCTGTTTCTATCTCCTTCCCAAAATCCACAAACTCAACTGCCCTGGTTGACCCATTGTCTCTGCCTGCTTCTGCCCCACCGAACTTATCTCCACTTATCTCGACTCCATTTTCTCCCCCCGGTCCAGGAACTCCACACCTATGTCCATGACACCACTCATGCCCTCCACCTCCTCCGCCACCTGCAATCTGACCCCACTACCAAGGACATTTTTCCCTCCCCAACCTTATCTGCCTTCTGGAGGGGCCGCTCTCTCCGTGACTCCCTTGTCCGCTCCACACTCCCCACTAGCCCCACCTCCCCTGGCACTTTTCCCTGCAACTGCAGGAAGTGCTACACCTGCCCCTACACCTACCCCCTCACCCCCCATCCCAAGCCCCAAGAAAACCTTCCACATTAAACAGATGTTCACCTGCACATCTGCTAGTGTGGTATATTGTATCCCCTGTTCCTGATGTGGCCTCCTCTACATCGGGGAAACCAACCGGAAGCTTGGAGACCACTTTGTGGAACACCTACACTCGGTTTGTGACAAACAACTGCACCTCCAAGTCACAAACCACTTCAACTCCCCCTCCCACTCTTTGGACGACATGTCCATCCTAGGCCTCCTCCAATGCCACAACGATGCCACCTGAAGGCTGCAGGAACAGCATCTCATATGTCACTTGGGAACCCTGCAGCCCAATGGTCTCAATTTGGACTTCACGAGCTTCAAAATCTCCCCACCACCCCCCGACTTCATCCCATGACCAGTCCAGCTCATCCCCGCCTCCTTGACCTGTCCGTCTTTTCTCCCAATTATCTGCTCCTCCCACCTCAGACCAACCCCCACCCACACTTCCTACCTACCAGCCTCATCCCCACCTCCTTGACCTGTCCGTCTTCCCTCCCTCCCAACTGACCAACCCCCATCCCAACTCCCTACCTACACTCACCTTTACTGGCTCCATCCCCGCCTCTTTGATCTGTCCGTCTTCTCTCCATCTATCTGCTCCTCTATCCACCTTCTAACGTCGCCTTCGCCTCTCTCTATTTATTTGAGTCCCCTTCCCCTCCCCTCCCCCATTTCTGAAAAAGGTCCAGACCCGAAACGTTAGCTTTCCTGCTCCTCTGATGCTGCCTGGCCTGCTGTGTTCATCCAGCTCTGCACCTTGTTATCATAAATATTGTAAATTTGGTTAATTGTCCGGTGGTATCACCAGTTAATTCCAGGCTAAAATTTGTGAAGAATACAGGCAGATTTTCTGGGTGAGATGATACGTTGACGTGGTTCTAAACATTGCTGAGTTTTCACAGGGAGGACAAACATTGTAATTATCACCATTAGTGCAGCGAAAGCCCAAACTGAGCTTGTTGAGAAAAATCCCACTTCAGAGCAGTGTTCTATTGTGTTATTTATTTTCCAGTATAGCAAGACATGGAAGATGATCCAACAGGTGAGGATGAATACTGATTGAAAGTTTATGTGGCTGGATATTTTAGCATTTCTCAACATGCAGTATGTCTGTTTCAAACTAAAATAGCAGTTCTCTCATTTTCATTTGTTTATTTAAGTTGACTAACAGCTTCGTGTCGATTACTCTTTTAGTGGAGATTTTCCTGGAACTGGTTTCCAATTTCCATAGGTCAACTAGATGGAATAAATTGAAGATTTCATTAAGGGATGGAGAGGTTATAATTGTGACCTGAAACAGTAGGGGAAGGAGAATTCATAATAGTTTTAAAAGTGAAGTGGAAAAATCTCTAGAAAAGAGAAAGAAAATGTATAACAAAAGAGCAGGAGACTGGGTCCTATTGATTACAGCATCTCTGTTAGAGATGCTCAGTGGTTAGCACTGCTGCCTCATAGTGCCAGAGACCCAGGTTCGATTCCAGCCTTGAGCGACTGTCTGTGCGGAGTTTGCGCATTCTCCCTGTGTCTCCATGGGTTTGCTGTGGGTGCTCCAGTTTCCTCCCACAGTCCAAAGACATGCAGGTTAGGTGGTTTGGCTATGCTAAATTGCCCAGTATCTAGGGTGGGAAATGCAGAGATGGGGCGGGAGTGGGTTTGGGTGGGATGCTGTTCAGAGGGTCGGTGTGGACTCGATGGGCTGAATGGCCTGCTTCCAACCTGTAGGGATTCTATGGAAAATAGGTGTAGGTTCTTGGTTGTTTCATTTGCAAAATCTGAAAGACAGTAATGTGTTTATCAGTGTGCCAGACATCAATGAAATTGACGTCTTTGAGGTAGAGATGGCTAGTGGTATGGTCAGCCAAATTCGTCACTTCTCACTGCTTTCCAATGACCATTATTGAAAAGTGAGCTGATGTAATGTGAGGTCAGAATTCCCAATTCTATTAAAAAGAAGTACCGTGATTTTCACTTGTATTTTACCTAGTAACATTTTAGTGCTTAAAATGCAGGAACTCTTCTTGAATGAGTGCTTAGTCTTCGCAATTTTGGCCATGACAACACTGTAAATAAAATGAGGCACTGATTAATATATTTGATAAGACAAGTACATCATTAGCAAGTAGACCAAGTAGATTGATGAGTTATAGGGATAGTTCCATGATATGATGTGAGAGAAACAGGTATCACTTCTGGAAAATCTGTTAGTTTAACAGCAGTGCTCTTGAATATTGCAAAATATACAAAACACACCAGTTGCCAATTACTTTTCATTTGACCCTAAAATTTGGTTTGGTTTAAGATCTGCACCTTGATTAAGGACCTCAGCAGAATGAAGTATTTTAGCAATTTAGCATAACTATTGAAATATATGTTTTGCACTCTGATCTGCACATGTTAAGTGTAGAAGTTGAGACAAGCTAATAAGTGGCTGAGGGAGTGAACCTGCTGTGCAGATGCCTGGGACAAATGGAGGTGTGTTGGACTCCTACAGCTGGTCCTAACTATAGTGAACAGATAGTATTTTGAAAATTTCTGTGAAGGAGCTGGCAGAATCATACATGAATTTCCCATAAGAAGAAACTTGCAAGAGGTGGCATCTAGATGAAGAGTTGCAGGCAATTCACTTCTTTCAATAAGCTGCAAGCCTGAAGCGAATGGTCTCTGAAAGCTCCCATCTTCAGGTCTCCAATATTGTGGAGCAGGAATATTCTTGTATATAGGACTCAGATTGTCCAGAAAGCTACAACAGGCTTGATTATCCACCATCCCATTGTCCTCACATTTTTAATTATTTGCCATTTAGTGATTGAAGAAAGATTATTGAGTGGTGCTCTGATACGAAGAGCTCAACAATATGGAACAGATTTCAACCAGAAAAATTTAGTAATGGATGCAGGTTTATTGGATAGAAATTTAATGGACAGAGAAATAAAGGTGCGAGTTTAGCTTTTGAAATTTAATGAAATTGACTGATGGACATTTAATGAATGGGAATTTCACTGATGAATGATTAATCAGCAGATATTAAAAGGATGGAGCTTTAATGTCAGTGATTTAATGAATGGGGTGTTATAGATGCAAGTTTAATGAATGGAATGTTATCAGTTAATGTTTGATGATTGATGTCCAGTGAACTGAGATTTAATGATGGATCCTAGAGAATGGAAAATTAATTGAGAAGATTAAATGGGAATTATAATGCTTGGAGGTTCATTGCAGGAATGTGTGCTGCTTTTAAAAAAGAAACATTGAGATTCATCCTTGCATAGCTGACATAGTCACCATTGAGAAGATAGTGGTGAGTCAACTTTTGGAATCACTGGTATTCACATGATGAAGATACTACACTACTATTCCAATGGTCTGTCTCTCCTTTGTTGGAGGTAGTCATCACTTGGTACTTGTGTGATGTCAATGTTATTTGCCTCTTTTCAGCTCAAGGCAATTGTTCACATTTTGCTGGATGCAGATAAGGACTGTTTCATTATCCAAAGAATTTGACTATCAATCATTAGCAAACAGCCTGTTCTTACTTTAGGATGGAGGGAAGGTCATTAATGAAGTCTGTGAAGATATTTGTGCTTTGAATACAGTTCTGAGGAACTCCTGAAGCAATCCCTGAGGCTGAAATGATCGGACTTCCAACAACCACAACCACCTCCTTTTATGTCAGATACGACTCCAGCCAACGGAGGGTTTTCCTTGTATACTGTGAACTCAGCTAGTAGACAGGTTTCCCTATTTTTCATTGACCTCAATTCTGCTAAAGATCATTTTTATTGGGACTTACTACTATACAGCCTTACTTCTATAATACATCTCTGCTATCCATGGTTTTGGCCAAGGCTGTAATCAGATTATGAAGCCTTGTGGTCTTGGAAGAACCTAAACTGAGCATCAATGAGCATATGATCATAAGAAACAGGAGCAGAAGGTCATTTGGCCTATCAACCCTGCTCACCATTCAATAAGATTATGGCTGATCTGATCAACTCAATTTTCCCACCTGCATCCCATAACACTCGACTCCCTGCATCAGACATGTGTAATTCAGCCTTGAATAGATTCAACGGCTTATAGAACTTTAGAAAGGTTATGGCACAGAAAAAGGCCATTCAATCCATCATATTTGTGCCAGCTGAATAAACTATCACCCCCATACATCCGCCCATTCCCCCACCCCCCCACTCCCCACCAATCAACATCACTCCCTTTACAGTCTCTGGTTCTGTAGGCCTGCAGGTTCCAGCCTTGTTAATCGACCTTTCTGTTAAGAGAAACATCTTCCATGTCCATTCTAGCCAAGCCCCTCATTACTTTGTATGCTACAGCCTCCATTGCTCTCTACAGAAGGAATTCTAAAGCAATGATTCACAGAGATTGAGTTCTTCCTTATCTTTATCTTAAATTGGAGATGGCTTATTTTCAAAGTGTGCCCCGAAGTGAGGAAATGCCCTCAACATCTACCTATCAAGCCCTCTCAGAATCTCATACCTTTCTTCTAAACTCTAATGAATATTGACAATAACAGTTTTAAATTCACTTGTGGGATGTGGATGTCATTGGCTGGGCCAGCATTCATTGCCCATCTGTAGTTGCCCTTGAGAAGTTGCTGGTGAGCTGCCTTCTTGAACTACAGCAGTCCATGTGCTGTAGTTGACCCACATTATTGTTAAGGAAGGAATTTCAGGATTTTTACCCAGCGCCAGTGAAGGAACAGCGATAAATTTCCAAGTCAGGATGGTGCACGGCTTGGAGGGCAAACGCAGTATGTTGCTATGTACCTGCTGCCTTTGTCATTCCAGATAAAAGTGGTCTTGGGTTTGGAAGGTCTCACGATCTTTGGTAAATTTTAGCAGTGTATCTTGTAGATAGTATACATTGCTGCTACTGAGTGTCAGTGGTAGAGGGCGTGGATGTTCGTGGATGTGGTGCCAATTAAACAGGCTGCTTTTTCCTGGATAGTGTAAAGTTTTCTGAGTGTTGCTGGAGCTGTACTCATCCAGGCATATGTGGAATGTGCAATCACATTTCTCACTTCTGCCTTGTAAATGATGGACAGGTGAGTTATTCTGTGCAGTATCCCAATCTCTGGCCTGTTCTTATTGCCACTGCACTTATATGGTGAGTCCAGCTGAGTTTCTGGTCAATGCATTCCCCAGGATGTTGATAAATGGAGATTCAGTGACGGTAACACCATTGAATGTCAAGGGGTGTTGGGTGGATTCTCTTTTTTTGGAGATGGTCTTTGCCTAGCATTTCTGTAGCACAAATGTTACTTGCCACTTTTCAGCTGAAGCCTGGATATTGTCCAGGTCCTGTTGCATTTGGACACTTACTGCTTCAGTATCTAAGGAGTCACGAATGGTACTGAAAACTGTGCAATCATTGGTGAACATCCCTACTTATGACTTTATGGAGGGAACCTCAACATTTCCTCATAAGACGAACCCTCCATGCCAGGGATCAGCTAAGTGAATCTATTCTGAACTGCTTAAAATACAGGTATATCACTTCTTCAGTAAAGAGACCAGAACTATACACAGTTCTCCAAATGATGTCTTACCGATGCCCTGTACAATCATAACAAGAGGTTCCCTACTCAATCATCCCCTAAAGGTCAACGTTCCATTTACACTCCTAATTATTGCTGCATCAGCATCGTAATGTATTTGTTCACAGATGTGGACATTGCTGGCAAAGCCAGCATTTATTTTCCTTCCCAAATTGCCCATCAGAAGATGGTGGTCAATTGTGTTTTTAAACTGCTGCAGGATAGGTGCTCCCACAGTGTTCTTAGGAAGGCAGTTCCAGGATTTATTTAGCAACAGTGACAGTTATAACTTGGAAGAGAACACGCATGGTGTAATCTATGAATCTGTTCCCCTTTATCTTCTAGATAGTAGAGGTTCTGAGTTTAGAAGGTGCTGTCAAAACAATTATGCTGAGTTGCTGTTGTAAATACAGCAATGGCGTGCATTGCTGGTAATGCATGTCGACAGTGCAAGGAGTGAATGTTTAATGTGGCCAGGTAAGGTACCAATCAAGCAGTCTGCCTTATCTTGGATGGTATCGAGCATCTTGAGTATTGTTGAAGCTGCACTTATCCAGGCATATAGGAGTCCATCACACTCTACCTGTGCTTTGTAGATGGTAGACAAGTTTGGCAAGTTAGGAAGTGAGTTATTCACCTTACATGAGTGTCTGATCATAAGTTATGCACAAAGTCATTCAGATCCCTCTGTGCTGTGCAACATTGTAGTTTTCCACCGTTTAAGTAGCATTCTGCTTCTCTATTCTTTCTGCCAAAGCGGTTAACCTCATAATTTGTAAGCTTACAATCAATGTATACAACCATCTTTGCAACCACTTCCTTTAATACCCTACAGGCCAAGGAAATTACCAGTCTTTAGTCAGACTGATTTTCCTACATTTTTTTTCCTGGTGATAGTGATTGTTTAGTTTTGTGTTCCTCCCTGCCTTGTTTCTCAGTGCTCCTTTTCTCACAAATTTCGTCACTAGCCTGTTTGTAACTAAGACTTTGCAGAGTTTGACTAGCTGAGTTTGCTTTTAGCATACCTAATTTGATTCACATATTTTTCACACAGGTTGATATGAAAACCACTTTGCTGTGTGTCAGAGTCATATGTATGTCTGACCGACAGTAGATGTCTTGCCTTAAAGGAGGTTAGGGAACCACTGTTTTACAATAATGAAGTTGTCATGAACACCACCACTGATTTGGATCAGTTAATCAACAGAATTTAAATTCCTCACCTGCCATAGTGGGATTTGAACTCATCTCTGGATCATTTGTCTAGGCCTCTACATTATTAGACCAGCAATATTAACACTACGCTACTGAATCACATATCATTGGAGATGTGATAAATCAGTTATTCTTGATGGAAGCCTAATGGATGGAGATTTAATTAATGGAAGAGTAATGGGCAATCATTTAATGGATGGTGATTTAATAGCTGTTGTTTAAGGAATAGAGACTTGATTGATGGTTGTTTAATAGGCAAAGGTATAATGGATAGAGCCTCATTGACAGATTTTTAATAGTGGGGAGTTTTCTTCTGTGCTATTTGGTCAGAGTTTGGAGGAGAGCACAATAGTGCAAGGAGTTGATCCTGTTTTACAGCATTTGAAGTGGTGTCCACCTGGGCTTAAAGTATAACACTAGAGACTTGCAAGCTGGAAGGTCTCCAAGTAGTGAGAACTTCCATCTCACTTGCCAAAGGTTCACTGTGTAATGCACCCAACATTGTTCTGACATAATTAATGAAGTGAAAAATGGAAGACTGCTGATTGTGTCATGGTGAAAGTTATGTCATGAAATTCACTCACCACCACTTTTTATCTGTAAATGGGAAAATTTCAACCGTAACGTGAGCAGATTAAGGGATGGAAATGTTTAATGGGCAAAGATTTAATGGGTGAGGAAGCATGTATAAGTCAGTGTTTAAAATAAATGTTACATTTGTAAAATGGGAAGAATGTACAAATTGAATAGAATAGCGAAAATGATAAAGTAAATGATTCTATTATTAATAATGTTTCAATAGAATCAGCACTTACTATATTTCAAGAAGATGATAAATAATAGCCCAACTATAAACAAGTAAACTAGCACTGCGACTGCAATAGTTCCTGAAACATGGCTCAGAGGCACCTGGCATTCCGTAACTGTAGGTAAAGAACAAATATTGTTAATTTTTCTGATTAAAAATCAGTCCTAAATTTAAGCAATTAAGATCAAGATCACAGAATCCCTACAGTGCGGAAACAGGCCCTTCAGCCCAACAAGTCCACACTGCCCCTCAGAGCATCCCACCCAGACCCATCCCCCTATAACCCAGCTAATCAACACATCCCTGAACACTACAGGCAATTTAGCATGGCCACTCCACCTAGCTTGCACATCTTTGGACTGTGGGAGAAAACCGGAGCACCCAGAAGAAACCCACGCAGACGCAGGGAGAATGTGCAAACTCCACACAGACTGTCGCCCGAGGGTGGAATTGAACCCAGGTCCCTCGCACTGTGAGGCAGCACAGCAGTGCTAATTACTGAGCCACTCTATTTACAAGGAAAAGGAAACATACTGAGAAAGCTAACAAATAAATTGCCCTTAGTGTACACGAGTTGCTCAATATGGTCAAAACTAAAAAGCACATACTTTACATGATGCATAGTGCACTTTTGCACATTATTAGATAACGACAGAAATAACCATAGATAACACTCATTTTAGAAATGCGATGTTCTTTGCATGATTCAATCTGAAATGCCAGGAGTAACACCCTTCTTCATCTCAAAGGTTGAACAATGTTGCAAAGAAATTGCAAAGTTATATAGAATGTGTGCTCCCAACAGAGATGGGTACCATCATTAAAAAAGGCTGCTGTGATCCATCCATGCATTCACAGTTGTGAGAAATATTGTAGAAATAATAATTGGAGACAAAAGTAACAGCCATTTGGAAAATGTGGATTACTTAATAAAAACCAGCATAAATATGTTAAGGGTGATAGTAGGAACTGCAGATGCTGGAGAATCTGAGATAACAAGGTGTAGAGCTGGATGAACACAGCAGGCCAAGCAGCATCAGAGGAGCAGGAAAGCTGACGTTTCGGGCCGAGACCCTTTTTTCTGAAGAAGGGTCTAGGCCCAAAAC